GCAATTTAACAGAAAAGCTAACAGATGCCTCCCAAGCACCCCTGACTTCCAGCACCTATGGGTAATCAAAACACATCTGTGAATGCTTGTACTTCTGCTTTGCTTGTTTTTGCATTTTCCAAACCTCCCATTTGAGACCCAGCCATTGAAAACCCGATAGCAGAGAGCCGGCAGCCCCGCAGTCACTGGAGGGGAAGCTGGGGAGATGGCTGAGGCTGCACTTCAGAAAGGAAATTTGAAGAAATTCAGAGTGCCAAAAAATTAATGAGGGAAACATGGTCGTTATCTCCAGTAGAAAGCTACAGAGAAAAAACAGCACCAATTTAACCAGTTTTCCTGGATTATTTTTGAGGGATCAATGCACTCCTAACATACCTCTCAAGGGGGACTGGAATAGCATCCTCCTGCAGAGCCTTCAAAACGCTGGCAGCTCCGATGCTTCCCCTCTGTACAGCTGGGAGAGACAAGTCTCCACATGCTAGGTAGAAGGCTGACAAAGAGACACCAAGTAATTTTGACAGCTGATTGAATTAAACAGTTGTAAAGTGTGTGGAAAATTTACCCCAATTACTTAAGTTTTCGCTTATTAAAGGGAAAACCCTCAAAAAACATTGCTTGGCCTTCTTCAGCCATTTGGCATCGCAGCCCTTCGTCCTGCACAGCACGAGTGTGGGCATCAGGAGCAGACACCAAAGTACATCTGTGGCAGGGGTACACCAGGCAACCACAGACAAGGCAAGGCAAGCCTGAAGCATATGAAGCAACCACTGCCTTGTTAACAAAGAAAAAAATTCAAAAATTACTTTTTCTTTCAAAGCCAGCAAAACATTTGCCACCGCAACTACTGGTTTCCCCTCCAACTGCAAAACTTCTACAGTTTCTAAAGAATAGGAAATCACGGTGTATTGGAAAAGACATATCCTGGACAAAAGGCAAGCTTGAAATAGTTTAGGTAATTTTCTTTTCAGGTTGTCAAGCTGAGGTTTTAACCAGCAAAAATGGACTCCTTGCACATATCCTGAGGCAGGATGCATTTCTCTTGTCACCTGTGGACCTCTGAGAAAAAATGGCGAGGACTATTCTGTAACTGTGGTCACTAGAAGCAGCCTCTGAGGTCCTTCAGTAGGGTAGTGGGACACAGAGAAATTTTGAATGGCCTTCCTTGATGCCAGCCAATAAAGAAATTTTTTTGTTTTCATCCGTATCAGTCTTCATTCATAGCTGCCTCTACTCCTCTGCTTGTTTTGTGACAGCTTAGCTAAGTCTAAGTTTTGTCTCCTTTCCTTCCTCCATCTGCTGTAGTCACCCATATCTAAACATTTCTAAAAATTTTATAGAGCTAAAAAATAAATACTTGCAGTTCTAGCCCTCACCAATTGTGCATTATATATCCTTTCATCCAACGTGACTTAGCCTTGTCTGTTGAAACAGTTCCTATCCTCACAGTCTTCTACTCTCTACTTACTTATCCTCAAGAAATCCTCAGTCACTACCATAATTATACTCCTACAGTTACCATACCATCACCTTTCATTTGATCTCTCTGTTCATCCAGATGAACTTGATGCTTTAGGGCAAGATGACCACTCAAGTATAGGTGAGAGATGATTTTTTTAAATATACAATTCAAAACATAAAACAGACACTTAATCTGAACAAAAAGACTTTAATATCATGATTAAAAAATATAACCTAAAGACAAGTGTAACTTCAGTGGAAAAAGCAGAATATACTTATTATTCCTAATGCATGGAAAACAAACAGCAAAAAAACAGACAGAAAAAAGAAAAAAAGACAGTTTCCACAATTTTACCCAAATGACTTAATTCTTTGACAGGTCTAGGTCTTTATAGGTCTTCTCAGCCAAAGGCTTCAGAATATTTACGTTATTATTATACAGCTTTATTATAAAAATATTTCCTTTTTTTCTTTTATTGGAAAACATTCAGCAGAAAATGCATCTCAAATAATGAAATTTGAGACATGTCCTATAACTATCTTTTTAAGAACACAATTTGCTGTTAACCATTGCTGGCCAAGACTGAATTAGTGCCAAACTTAATGTTATGTAGTTTTGGTTTTCCTCCTATTAACTTTTTGGCCAGGTATAGACTACATGCTCAACAATCACACACAGGGTTAGGTGTCTGTATTTTATATATAAAACCAGAAGAAATTTAAATACCAGTCTGAATTAGGTGCAGAAATCACTGCAATGGAGAAGAGTATATTTATTGACATGCTAATATATTATACTCAGCTTGACTAGATGTATACATTTGTTGCAAAATGTTTTATCTGCTACAGAAATGAGATTTAATCCATGATGTAATAAAGTTTGGACAGATACAATAAATGCCTGGATTTTGTTTCATACAACTGTGGATTAACATATATTGAGACAGATACAAACCCTCTTCACTGCTGACAATACACTTCCACAAAGGAAATACTACGTACAGCCTTTGATCAGAGTTAAATTTATTGCCATAAAGAATTTTCCTTAACTTACATGCTTTTAATTAACATTGGTCCCAGATGCCAACAAACACTGTCCCACCTTCAGCTTAAAATACAGTTGTCTCACTGAAGACTTTTTTTTAATAGGAGAGGAACTATCCACTTTAAAAAAAAAAAAAAAAATCACAAAATTCTCTTTAGAATATTATTTTATTTTTTAAAGTAAAAATATATATACACACAAGTAAACTGTTTTACACTTTAAAAAATAAAAATGAAGTCTGAATACTGACTTTCCTCGGAAATTCTTCCAAGTTTAATTCATTCAACCTCTGGGAATCAGCAGGACTGAGTCTTCCAGTTACTGACAAAGGGGAGAATACACATTTTGTCTATTGAATCTGGGAATCCCAACTTCCAAAATTTTCTCTGTTTAAGTATTAATCTTTAAGCATCTCAGTATGGCTACAATAAACCAGTATGTTAAATCAGCTGGTAGGAAGTACGGAGCACATGGAGACAGACTGTAGTATCTGTGCAAAATCCTCCCATTCAGGGCTTTCTAAACAAAGATTAGAAAAACTGCAGGGAAGGAAATCTGGTGATAATTTACAGCTACCTGATTTGTCTACTCCTGTCATTTTCCTCAACAATTGTTCCTTCTGTTGATCTCATATCAGTTAAAAATAAACAAGGTAAGAGCACAGAAAGGGTCCAGCAACTTCCAGAAGATGAAGAGCAGAGCATCATGAGGAAATGGTGGACAAGGAATGTTACAAAAGTAACTCTAGAAACATTCTCCCACTTCAGGCTAAAACTGATCAGAAGCATTAAGTGGAAAATAAGGTGTGCCAAGAAGTAAGGAAGAACGAATAAATTAAAAATTTCACCCTTCCCTCAAATAAAGGGAAACTGTACAGGCAAATTTAATGTCTTTTTAAAAAAGTTACTAGACTAGTTGGACGAGCCTCATTTCTTACAACTGCAGCAAGATTTCATACAGCGATGACTTTCAAAGACAAGATGATCACTACCTGGCTTTGAACTATCCTTTCTGACAGAGAGGAGAGGCCACAGACCGTTTCAGAGTGCACTCTGCTTGAGTAACTGTGGGAAAAAACCACAAATCACGATGCAAAGTTATGGCAGTGGATTCATCTGCTAACACGCAGCCCACATGTCCTCAAGCTTCTGAAGCTTCAGAAAAAGAAACATGCCTGGGGATCTGTTTCTTCTTCACACAGCTTTATTTTTAAATACTAGTTTCTGTTTGGTGAAAACTGTGCAGCTTTGACTATTTTAAAAACCTTCAACAGTATGCTGTATGACAAAGGTTATTATAAAAAATTAACCAAATAATGTTCTTCCACTGAGTAAGTGGAACTCATGCGCGCACGCACACACACACAAAACAATCATGTAAATAGCAAAGTTAAGGGATTTATAAATAGCAAAATCTTTGAATAAAGTATATACATTTTTAGGCTTTTTCTATAAACATATATATAGTACTCCTAAGAGAGACAAAGTAACTGTGTTCTACATCACAATTTAGAACATAAGATTAGTTGATGTTACTCTAAAGGCCTTTAAGGTTTTTTTTCTTATGTATGTACATCAGACACAGTAAAGATGTCTTTTCACATTAGTTCCTCTCTCAATGTACAAAATCTTATCTTTTCACATTACAGTGCAACAGCCTGCAGAGCAGCGAACAGGAAAGCCGGCATTGCATGCTGAAATAATAAACGCGATTACAATGTAGAGCTTGCATGTGTAGAGCGCTGCACTTCACCACAAGATCTACAAATGGAGTATGAGAAACTGGCCAAGAAACCATCCTCAACATTCCCATTTGCAGCCATGCCGTGGGCCTTTAGATGTACACCAGTTAAAAGCTATTTTTAGATACACTGCTCTTACAAAAGGAGTGACATTTTGTTTCAACAGTAAGACAATTATAGGTTAATGCAACTACCATAACATAACACAGATAGGGCCAGACACTCTGTGATTCTGAGCACCTCCTGTAAGGTACTGTGCACTCAACTTTCACTTCTTTAATGATTATTTTAATGTGAAATGAACATGTTCAGTACCCATCAAAAGCACTCAGCATTTCACAAGGTCAAGCTAATGATGACCAACTCAAACCACTCCGCATTAGCGGTAACCGTATCCATTCACAAATGAACACTAAATTGATGATGCTCAAAAAAAAAAAAACACACAACCAAAGAGCCCACATAATTGTGAGTATTTTTAAAACTAATTTTGCTTTTAAAACCCCATAATACTCTGTTTAAATACTTTTGGAGCAAGTTTCAAATGGAACAACTGGCAGTGAATTCACTGAAACAATGCCAAAAATCTCACTCATAAAATGATCATGGGCTGAAGGATCACGATTAGCAAGTGCTCCACTGTCCCATTTAGGTTTTGATGGTCTTTACTCAAATAAAAGCTCTGTTTTTTACTATTCGGGGGGGGGGGGGGAAGCTTTCTTTTAAAAATTATGGTTCAAAAATCCAAAGCACAAAAAAACTCATGGACGCAATGGTAGAATTCCCCCCCTCATCCTTCTAGAGTTAAAGCTTGTTTCACACCAAACTGAAGATCAGTTGTCCCTTTAAAACATCAAAGGGTCAAAATGAAGCTGTCCACATCTTATTCTATTTCCTTGGGGACATCAATGAGATTAAAAGTTGAATGTAATGAGGTTATCCTTTTTAGAAATCCCATGCTTTGGTGCTTATTATTAAAATTCATTTCACATGCCATGTGTTAGATAACTACTGTGTGTCACGCAAAAGACAGTTTTCCACATTTAGAATTGCTCACAGTGAAGCCCTGAGGTAACCGCCTTTTTTCCAGGCAACAATAATACAGTTCCCTTTGACATTTAATCATCCTTTTACAACCTACACTAGTGTATGCAACTTGGAGCAGTCAATATTGATTATCAATTGTTCCCAAAGACAGGATCTGTCCAGTTTTTTTTGTTTTTAGGATAAAGACTCAGCAGAATGGGCTAATTTGGGTGCAGTGTCTTCTAATGGAGCTTCAACTGAATTCCCCAGGTCACCATTTTCATGTCCATCAATACTTGGCTTCTTATCGAACACTGAAAGTTAAAAAGAAAATTTGTTTAAGGAAGAGAAGCAATCTTGGGAAGGACAGATCAGTGAGCCTTATTTCAGAAACTGTAAAGTGTGCTGAAATGACTACTAAAATAAGAGCTAATAGGGTTTTAGCAGAACACAGTATGGCAGGAAAACAGGAACTGTTTCTACACCTCTCTGATCTAAATATCTTGTTGGCTTCTTCAAATACCTAAAGTGTTAAGGGGAATTAACTACTCCTAGACCAGAGTCAGGAAAAGGTAAGAATAAATTTGAATTTCAACCTTTGGGAAAAGGCAATCACCCAAAAAACCCCCACAAATTAATTCAGTTAATTCAGTTGTATCTAAGTAAACCAAGCCAATAAGTGAGGGACCAACCAAAAGAGCCAACAGCCTACTAGTAGGTTAGTTGAATTAATAGTAGATTAATTTGACAATGAACATAAAAACAGTGTTTTCCAGAAATTGGTTTGCATATCGAGACTTCAGAATTAAACTGCACGTAAGACATTTTAGAAGGCATACCTTGTGAGGGTTTGACATCCACATTTGCATCTTTCCTATTAGAACTTGAATTTGCACCTTCTTCCAATTCATCAAGATATAAACGATAACGGTGTCCACTCTCGTCCTCATATTCTACATTTTCATCATCCGAATCAACTTCTGGAGCAACATACACTACTTCAAATTCAATCTCACCTCTCTAAAATGCAATGAAAATTACAAATTTACTTACTACTGCACAGCTATGCAACAGGATTACAGAGATGAGCTAGGTTACTAAAACAAATACATTTTACTGTTATAAACACTTTTACAGTTATGTTGAATGAACTCTAATGAGTAAGTTTTCCAATAAATTAAGTGCACCTGTTAACTGTCCAAAAATGGCGAGGCAAGGCAGGAAGAAGATTCTAGAGAACAAAGTACAGGAGAAACATTGCTTCGCTGGAGCTGTCCAGTCATAAAAGAATAAAACATATGTCACTAAGTAATTATTTCTGTGGGGCAATATAACAAGCTGATGTCTATCAGCCTTACTGAAGCATCATTAGCCAATCCATGGGTCTAACCGAACCAGTGCTGACCCACCATTTTTCTCCTTAAATTCCAAGACACAGGAGGATTAAGTGTAAGATGAATCAGCTTCAGGAATCACTGCAGCTTAGCATAACACTGTGCTTAACAGAGAACATTAAAATTCAAGGTAATTCAATAGGCGGAACAAAGGAAGCACCTAGATGTGCCTGTGAATAACACATCCCAACTGACCTGTTGGGAAAGAATAGTTACAGCTTCTTTATGTTTGGCATCTCTTAGATTAACTCCATTTACTGCCAGAATAGCATCACCAACATGCAGTCCTCCGCATCGATCAGCAGGTTGTCCAGGATGGATTTCAGAGATCAGTATTGGGACACCATGCTCCTTCCCACCCTATTAAAAAAAACCAGAAAGTAGATTTTAATTAACTGAGATATCCATTAGCGTAAAATCAACATCCTGGTAGTTGCGCTTAAAGTGTTAATTTTGACTTTTATTATATAAAATTAGAAAGCATGCTTCAGACAAAAGAATGCTTAAGAAGAACGCATGAGATGCTTCCCTTAATTCTACTCGCCACAAAAGAATGGACAAATTTCAAGTATATACTCAGAGTCAAAGGAGACAATTCTGAATAACAATGATATTTAAGTGTAACAGTCAGAACTTTCAAAATTTGTTGTAAAAAGTTGATACAGCTTTTGTTAGGTGTGAGATGCCGATACATGGGAAAAAGTTACAACCACAACAGCTAAGCTTTGGAAGTTAGTTCTCAGATTGCTTCTGCTCTTCTACATACTTACCACACCTGAAATTCACCACTGGCTAATCTGATAAAGTGTCTATACCCTAAACCTAACTTGAAATCATAAGTTTTACATGAATAGCAATTATCTATTTCCTAATCTATCAAAATGAGCCTTCAAGTTCTATGACCATAGCTACGGATTTGCATATGGGTTTTTTTGCATGTTCTAACAATACGTTTACCAATCCACATATTTTACAGAAGTACAAATACAAATTAAAATTGTTGCTTCTGTGTCACGGAAAATAAATGCAAGTATTTACTGTGATTGAAATTCCTAGTCCTTCATGGTCTTCTTTAACCAGCAAAACTTTTCTGATTGGACCAACCCCTTGACTCTTCTTTAAGGCGTCAGGATCCTAGTTTGATAAAAAACAAACATAGCATAAATATAAATGTGTGAACCAAAAAGTGATGCATTTCTGCCTTTTTTTTTTTTTTTTTTAAATTGTGTACAGTCAGTATATCAGCAACAGTTTTAGACTAGCTCTCAGCAGGACAAACTTACAGTGCTCCTTTACAGACAGGGTATGAAATCAGAAAAGATTCCTCACCAGACACTCCTGATGAGAATAGTTATTTCAGTGCTGAGTGATGCACAACACAGAACTTAACTTCAAAAGAAGGAAATCAGCCTCATATGAAAAATATAAAGGGAATGAAAAATGTGAAGGAATGCTGATGATGGCTGAAAAGTTGTATGATGTAATAAACTGCAATTTAAAACTCACTATCGAAGATGATGTAATACATTCCCAAGGGACTGGTTGCTTGCTCAAGTTTATTTTTATTACAATAAAAACAAACCATACCCAAAAGCCATTCAACTCAAAACTAAAAGTGAGACTAAATAAATCAAAGTATTTTGCTTTTATGAAGCCACTGTTGCCATTATGCATACCCTTAAAATCCCACACACGGATATTTGTCCACCAATATTTTATATGCAATTAGCAACAATTAATAAGACCCATCTGACCAACTAAGTTATTTAGAATAGAACAAAGCAAAGCACTTCCCTGAAAATGTTTAGTTTTATGCACTGAACACTGGGGTGATTAACAGCTCATATGCCAAATTGGGTGAGTTCTACCAAGGCTACCCACAGTGAAATGGCTTTTAAAGGTTTTATTTTTAAAAGTACCTTTTGGAGGGTGGGGGCCAGAGGAGAAATCAATTATCTTACAGACTGTCAATTTATCTGGCCTTTTAAAAAATTATTAAAAATCTATTTCAGTGCGATCTAATCCTAAAATGTTATTTTTTTGTTTTTTGTAAATAAGTTAGCTCCACATTTTGAAAACCGGGTAACAAAATTATGCTGTTAAATCCGTATTTATACATACACATAGCAGAGGCTCAGTTTTCAAAAGGACTGAGTGTTCCTAGGTAAGGCAAAGGAATTGTATCATCTTTCATAGTCATTTATGGGGACATGCTATTTAGCATGAAACTGTCCTTCAGCATACAAAAGAATTATATATTTGGAAGTGACATTTCAAAGAACACAATATTGAAGTGAAAACAATCACAGAAGTTAAGAAATAACTGGTATATATTTTCCACAAATGCTGGAAATCATGGAGGAAAGGCTCATCTTTTCAACTTACATGTCCTGGTGGTGCATGCATTGGTCTTTTTAGATCATTCCGACCTCGACAAGCTCTAATAACGGTTTTGTGACGGTGAAGGTGTATTTCTGCTTCAAGCTGATTCCAAAGCTTGTCATGAGCAGGTCCTTTCATATCTCGGCCCAGTAACTGAATCTGCTGGACCCTACATAATGACAGAGAGAGTAAAAAACACCATGCTCTATTACAACTGAAAAATCAATGCATCGTACAACTCTCACACTTCACCTGGCTACACCACAGTCACGCAGCAACTAGTGCAAGTGCAAGAACTGTGGGGATTTTTGTTTCTTCCTTTTGTTCAATTAACTGCAAATGTGAGACTTAGTGTTAACTTTGGACCTGCCTCTGGGGACGCAAAGGAAGAACGCAACAACAAAAACAATCTCCAGTCCATGAACATGGATTGGCTTTACATACCTTCCAGCTAGTTCCTTGTCTAAATACTTGGCTGCCAATCTCGCTCCATAAACCTCAGCCTGAAGCACAGCTATGTGTCTACGAAGTGCTTCATTTTCCTTCCTCAGTAACTTCACCTCAGCTTCCAGCTGAGCTTCTTTCACTTTTTCTTTCTTGTTAGCTTCAAGTTCTCGCTCCTTTACAAAAAAAAAAGAAAAAAAATGTTGAGAAGTTTTATCAAAGTTAATACTGAAAGAGCACTTAACTGTTTCTACACACACAATCTGAAATTGCTCTCCTGCGTAAAAGACATGCATGCAGAAAAAAAAAAAAGCAAGCAGGCACTCTGTCACTGCAGTTAGCGGTTTGCACACCAATGTGTTCTCTCCATGTGGGGAGAGAAGACCTTGCATTCAACTTAGTGCTCCTGACATGATTTTTATCTAGCTTACAACTCTCCTTAGCACAAAATGCATATACTAGTTCAAAGTCCATGGATGAAAATTAGCAACGGTGCTCCTCCCTGCCACACAAAGGTGGCAAAACTTAAGTAGCCTGAATATCATCCTTACTTTTTCCTGTGTTCAAATGGGAGGTTCATACAAAGATTGAAAAGACTATTTTAAAACAAAAAAGTAACTACAAAACCACTACATATTTCTATGTGACAATATTCTTTATTTTAATATTATTTTTAATATGATGTCAAGGAAATGTTCTGTAAGTCTGTATGTCCTTAACATTACAATTATTTTCATGCAAACAACCAAGAAATGTCCAGCCAGGGACGTTTCCAAATTAGAGTCTGAAGACCACAAAAATAAAGCCAGAGATTCTACACATGAAGATGCCCACCCTGACAAACTTAAAAGAGAAATTAGTGCAAAATAGCTTTGTTAAAAACATACCAAAAACCCCACCAACCCCACCCAACTAAACCCATGCTTTAAGCAAGCTATCTCCCCCCCACCAAAAAAAGAAATTATGGAAATATAAACTACTCCCACAATGCTCCACCCCAACTGTACAGAAAATGCATAGTCATTACCTTTTCTAATAACCAGAGCACTGGAGTGAAACGAATTAGTATGCTCAGATTGCTATTCTACAAAATCTACTTCAAGAGCAGCATGTTTGATCACTTGTATGTTTTATATCTTGTTTTATATCTCTTTTACAGAGTGGGGAAAAAAAACCCACCACAAACCAGGAAAATAGTAGAGACGCAAGATCTATGACTGTTTCCTTTTAAAAATGGCTGTCAACTGAAATAGCAATAAAAACTAAGTTCACCACAATGCATTTCTGAAGACATTTAGAATACCTAAAAAACCTGTTCTTTGTCCTTGTACCAATTACATTGTTAAACAAATAAAACCAGGAAGCGCTACTAAAGCAGCAATAGGACAGAAACCAAATTTAACAGAACTGGCAAGACAAATCTGTTATCAGTTTGTGAATATGCTTATTCACTATTCCAAGCCTGGATGTAAAACCATGAATATGGTCGCTATTACCACATTTGAGAAATTAAGCAAGGTTGGTTATTCCAAAGAGAGGTATTTTCACAACAGGTGTATGTAAGCATTTATATCTATTTGCCAGAAAGTCAGCTCTGAATTTGATGGACTCTGCGATCTCCCTCATCTGTTAAATGCTTGTATCGTGTTAGAAGAATAGAGCACATTACACATATGTACATGTTGGCCAAGAACTGCCTAGCATACTCCTCAGGAGGAGGGCACAAAGATTGCTTGAAATTGCTGGCATTTCACTTCCTGCAATTCCCATATTGACCCAGTTTCAGATCAGGCATGTTAGAAAACGTGTCACACAAAGACACTTCTGGCCTCTGGCCTTCTGGTTGGGGGCAGTCTTGTGACATGACTCTTCAACAAATCTCTTTCTGAACTGCAAGGTCACTCCTAAGCCAAGAATTTTGACTAATCTGCATTTCAAGAATAGGAGTTTCTAAAAATTATGCCAATTCTCTTTATTATTATGATGGTCTTGGCTATTTTAATGCACATCTACTGTCAGTCGCCAAAGGCCAATTAGAAGAATTCAAGTGCCAACACTCTGTGTTGCCTCTTCCACACACTTTTGCTGTAAGAGGGTCACAGTTCAGACATAACACTCATGTTAGAGTAGCTGGAGAGTCTGAATACAGGTACAGTGTTCCTGTGACACTTATGTTAGCTATGTACCTATCACAAATGCTGCATCAAGGTGCTCTAAATAGTACAGGCCCCCTGCTTGTGTATGTACTCATTTGTAGAACATCTTTTATTTCATAACTATAAAAAGACAAAGACTAGAATTCAAGACAGACATGAAGGTACATTATTCACACCCAAACTTCCATTTTTTTCCTCATTGGATATTTTTAGGTTTTATTTACTGAAGAAAAAGTCATAAACTAAAAATTAACAATAATAGTAATAATCATCATCATCATCATCATCATCATCATCATCATGATAAGTTAGAATATACCAGTCCTGCTTTCTATTCAGAAAAAAACAGAGATGCATGAGTTCCTCGATGTATCTGAAATATAACCTGGGAGAAGAATTCCAACCTCCCCCAGAAAACTGGATTGCTGAAGTGATCCAAGATATCTGATTAAACTAGCAAATTTCATATAGCAGACTTTACTGTATTTATACAGTCAGCTTAAAAACTCTCATCAAGACTGAAATTTTCCATTGATCTTCTCTGAATTTGGTTTGTCATTTAAACTACATTTAAACAAAAAGTCAAATGTTACATGCCTAAGTGGAATCACTTTTAGTCATGCATTTTAAATGTTATACCTAAAACACGAGGAACAATGTAATCCCATATAATTGTCTTCTTTGTATTCTCTCCATTAGTTCTATTAGTCTCTATTGTTCTGTGACTGGGGTGGAAAATTACACCCAGAAGCTATTTTCCTCTGGACTGGCTCCAACTGATCACCACATGAATTAAAAAAATCAAAAGGTTTGCAATACTGAAAGAACATGTCTTGTTTTGAATGTCGAGAGGTATAACAAAAGTCTCAAAAATGTTTAAAAAGTTGAGGAAGTTACAGAATAGTTTCATGCTTTCTAGTTTTCATAGTACTGCATAGGTTCTGCAAAATAATAACAACAACAACAACGTATTTTCTGTTGATGATATTAAAAAAAACCCAAAACAACCAAAACCCAGAAATACAACTGCCATGTTGAAGATCAAAGCTTACCGTTATCAGCTATCCCGTGGCTTTTCAAAGAGCAAATACTGAGTAATGATAATGAGGTATATAACATAATAAAAGTGGAAAAGCTGTTTAAAAACCTTTCAAGTTTATCACCATGAAAGACCAAAAGATAAAAGTTAACTTTGCTTCACTTTTTTTTCTTATTTGTGTATTATGTTTATATGCTTCAGGCTGTTATACAAGCCAGTAAATCATATTAAATCATGCTCATGAAAAGAACTGAGGAAAGAGAAAACAAGGAAAAGTTGGCAGGATTTTTTTTAAAAAAATACCACCTAGAATACTTCATATTACATTGATAGATGTGTACAATGTTTGTGCTTTAGAAATTGTATAACACCTCAACATTTTTTGAGATACTGCCAGAACAATCTTTCAGAATGTCAAGTTGCCAGGTATCACTCCAAATTAGCTGTAACAATAATAAATAAAACACATACAGACTTAAGAAAGAGGGCACCAAAACTCAAAAAGAAAAACTAAAATGCAAAGAAAATTATTTACACAGCATCTTGCCAACTGACAGGAAGAAGGAAAAAGCCAGATCTGTTTTGCCAGTTTCTGAGGCCAACATATATGTAAGTTGTTGCACAAAACAAAAGCACTGCATAAACATATAAAAAAGGCAATCAGCATACTTACCATTTCATCCACAGAAAGGACAGACTTAAGACAGAAGAAAAAAGTTCCACAATTAGAAAAACAGGCAATAGGAATTTCAAGGAAATGCAACACCATAAATGACTTACTCCAAAAGAAATTTACCAGCAGATTGTTTATTTTATTAGAAGGCATGAAGAACAAGCACATTGCTATAATTGTACCTAGTAGCAATTTTGGCATTTTGCAGTGAAAGTTTTAAAAAATCTTATTAAAAATTTTAAATGTATTTTAGGATTGAAAACAGTACTTTCTCCTAAAATACCAAAGAATCTTTATAAAGAATAGCAAGGTAATGTGAAATGCATGAAAGTAGTTTTGAAAGTATCATAGAAAATACATTGTTATGTAACATCTGTTATACAGATAACAGATTTTTTCCTTTCAGACAGAGTAACAAAATATATATTACAGGATAGACATAAGGCACAGGGAGAAGTAGCAAAAAAAGATACATAAACTGCAAAACTCCAGAAAAAAAAATTCAACTAGGCAACTTCATACCCTTACAAAGAAACAGTTGTTGTGCATGGACTAAGCAGATACACCACTCCTAAAAAGGGATTTGGCCTAAACTACATGGTATTATCAATTGCTTAGCAATCTGAAATATTTAAAAAAGGTCTCAGTTCACCACTATGTGCAATTTTACAGTTTCTAGAGTATACATTTATGCTAAGAGTCCACATACAGAAGAAGAGTGGCTGATGTTAACAAAGAAAGCAGAAAGTTAACTAGAACAGAACTTTATTTCCCCATTGCTTATTCTGTTGACATAGTCCTTCTTTGACCTCAGAGGTTTTCTGAATGCCTGAAGGTCAGCACAACAGTATTTGTTTACCTAAAACTCAGCCTTCCCATTTTATTGTCATTTAAGCAGCCTCAGTTTTGCCTGTTCAAGCTTCCCAGACCTAGCTTTTTGTAGCTGAGCTCTCTCCACTAAAACTATGAAATCCTTAAAGGCAAAGTAAAGCAAACTCAATAGATTAGCCCTGATGTTTATAAAAAAGAACTAACTACAACATGGAATTAAGGAGAGAATATCAGTCTAGGCTGCTAATAAAATTCAATTTCAACACAGATAAAAACTGAAACAAGGCAAGTAAAATCTATTTATTGTTACCTGTGGGAGAAAGACTGCTGTCAATAACATGGAGATTTAATATATCTTTAGAAATTGTTTATAACAAGGTAAGGAGAAACAAAAAGGTTAAAAGTATTACTCTCTATATCGCTTAGAAGTTAAGCCTCACTAATAAAATAGAGGGACCAAAATCACCCACAGTGATGTGTTGGCTTAAAATTTCTGCATGTAAATCTGCAGCCTACTTACAAACACTTACAAAACGCTGGTGATATTTAACTAATGCTTATTTACAGAGCCATAAAAATTATTAAGAGCTCTAAAGAAACTTCATCGTGCTTAAGATATAATTCAATGCAGAATAAATTATGCACAGACAATCTGGAAAATGTTACTTGTATTGAATATGCAACTATGTAGACCTGGGAACATAGCTCTAATTCAATTACAGCTTTTGGATCTGAAACAGGAAGAGTTTGGGTTACTCCTGTTATTCAGTAATTAGCCTAGTTAGCCTTTGAGCCTTATAGTCTATTACTGTGGGGTTTTATACATTAATTAACAGGACAAAATAGCAGAGGAGACCCATCTAATGTTCCACATATGCTGGGCCTAGGTATTTGCAACCAACCTGTGAAGCAATTTTAAAAACAGCCAGAGCGCTACACTTTGTGTTTCCTAGCTGTTGAAATAAATCAATCTATACAACATTAATTTTCTAATTTACAAAGTGTTATATTACAGCCTGAATCAGTGCTGTGGCTAGTAACAAGGCAAGCTACACTGTGGTTATCGGTCAATGCCAACTAATCGCACAGATTAATTGTTAACTTTTGGTGGGCTTTGTAAAGGTCTAAGTATCTAAAAACATATCATACGAAACAATCAGTGGTTTATCGAGTTCTTTTACGACAGTCTACTGCACGTAGCAATGGATAGCACCGTAGATGCATCAGCAGCATTCTTAAAGAGAAAGAATGACAATAGAGAGAGGACAGTGATGCCATCTACCCTCTCTCTGTATGGCAAAACAATCCCATTCTTACTCTTACGAGAGTGTAACTACAATAAAAACAACAAACTTACCTCATTTTAGGCTTTTTTAAGATATGTGAAGATTTGGCTGTATTTGTATATTGGAAGCTATTATCTTTTGCAACTTCTGTCTCCGGAAAAGCTTTACAAACCACCAAAATATTTTCTTACTTTAAGAAACCACTGAAAAATGGTTTATGTAAAAACAACTTCTTTAAATTCGTATTCATTATTCTTATGTTACTTATGTTATTTTTAATGGTTGCTAACAACTAACCGTAAATGTTATTTTAAAAAGTTAACTCTCCCTAACATTTTTAATGTGAAAATTTGTAACAAGCTTATTCGCACCTTCCAAGGAAGAACTTCAGCCAAGAGAGGGAAAAGTATAATATTTATAGAATCATAGAATAGTTTGGGTTGGAAGGACCTTTAAACACCATCTAGTCCAACCCCCCTGCAATGAGCAGGGACATCTTCAACTAGATCAGGTTGCTCAGAGCGCCGTCCAACCTGACCTTGACTGTTTCCAGGGATGGGGCATCTACCACCTCTCTGAGCAACCTGTGCCAGTGTTTCACCACCCTCACTGTGAAAAATTTCTTCCTGACTTATAGTCTAAATCTATAATCCTCTATTCAAGCCACTATACTCACCAGTTTTGCCTTAATAGCCCCAGAATCACCACTCTGACCAGTTTTGGCATGTAGCTGAAGTTGAACAGCATGGAGTTGCAAAAGCTGATCATGCACTTCCTTTTCCAATACTGCTTTCTCGGCCTGCGTTTCTGTCAGTTCAGACTTCAGATCAACTAACTGTGCCTGTGAAAATATAATCCATCATAGTAATTAGAGCAATCATTAAATGGGGTCATCAGAACTGTGATACATAGGTACAACATTTGCTGGCACATACATGCTACACACGGTGTAAAACAAGTAACAAGTACAAGCTGTTACAAGTTCCTCTGTAGCCCAAATTAAGCACTGGATCATTTGTATGCTTTTCTCCCCAACTGCCACAAAATTAATTTATCCACAGACCCAGCTTCAAACAACCATACTGCCAAAAATAACAATAGCTGAGTTTTTCCTCATGCACACAATGGGATGCTGATAACGACCCCAAAACAGGGTGATGGCATTATACCTATGTAGGACTTACAACCATGGCAATGTAAACACAACTTAAAACATTAAAATTATTACATCTATTAAAAAAAATTTATCAAAGTAAACCAACAATTATTAATGCAATGCTGGAATCAAGTAACCCAATTCACAGTACTATCAGCAGCTTAATTGAAATAGTAAATGAGGTGGGCAAACCAGAAGTCACGAATTAACATGCCCCTAAAATGTAATTGCAGAAAACGATGAATAGTTATTAACTCTTTAAAAAGGGGTTTTGGAACATTTTAAATACAGTTTACATATGGTGTTTATATTTGGAATAAAAGAACAAGTTCTAACATGTTTACCAGGTTACTTGTTATCCTTAAGTTCAAGTAGCTTTTTGTAAGATAATCTACATTTATATAAGCTCTAAAGCTACTATTTACCCAAAAAAACCCCACAGAAGATGGTCTCAGAAGATTTTTAGGTCAATTCCCAGAGTGTATTTTTGCTTCCAAAGATTTGGAATGAGAAAGCAAAATTAAAAAAAAAAACCCTCTCATATTAAAGCAGGGTCTTAGATATTTTAAAACCATTATAACTAACATTCAAATTCACAATGAATATCAAGTTGGAAGCCAACACTCATCCCATTCAACTATGTAAATCACTGCTTTAAAATATCTGTCTCCATTGGAAAAAAAAAAAAAAAACAAAGCAGAGAGGATTTGACTCTCAGTGGGGAGTATAGTTACTGGGTCTAACTTCCAGAACATAATTTAGATGGACAGTCTCCTTAAGCTTCCAGCATGATTACCAGAAATAAGTAGGCTCTTCCAGAGGTGATTCAGAGCACCTACTCAGAATGTAATTTGATGAGATGGGTCAAGCCAATCTCTACCTTGCTGCTGCCAAGAAGAATGATCTCCCTTCTTGCCCCTCGGCTATGCCCCCTTGCCCCACATGTCCAGGACAGGAGGGTGGGACACGGCCTGCCCATGAGCTCTACTGATGTCAGACTGGACTCCCCAGAGGAGAATCACCTCTCTCCGTCTGCTTAGATGGAGCTTCAACAGATTAGGTTAGCATTTACCTTTTGTCAAGGAATGGGGCTGCATGCATTTCCAACTGCCAGAGTGACACAACACTTGTCATAATAATCTGTAAACCCTCACAGAACTCTAAAGCAGAAATTGCTTTCTACAGTAAGATGATATTTAAAATATTATAAAGCCATATAATTTTAGAGAAACTATTTGAGACAAGCCAGCATGGCTTTACCAAGGGCAAGTCCTGCCTGATCAACCTAGTGGCCTTCCATGATGGAGTGACCACAACAGTGGACAAGGGAAGAGCTACTGATGTCGTCTATCTGGACTTCTGGAATGCCTTTGACACAGTCCCCAGCAACATCCTTCTCTCTAAATTGGAGAGATACGGATTTGATGGGTGCACTGTTTGGTGGATGAGGAATTGGTTGGATGGTCACATCCAGAGGGTAGCGGTCAATGGCTCAATGTCCAGATGGAGATCGGTGACAAGTGGTGTCCCTCAGGGGTCTATATTAGGACCAGTACTCTTTATTATCTTCATCAATGACATGGACGGTGGGATTGAGTGCACCCTCAGCAAGTTTGCAGACAACACCAAGCTGAGTTGTGCGGTTGACACTCCTGAGGGATGGAATGCCATCCAGAGGGACCTGGACAAGCTCAAGGAGTGAGCACATGTGAACCTCATGAGGCTCAATAAGACCAAGTGCAGGGTCCTGCACCTGAGTCAGGGCAACACCCGGTATCCATACAGGCTGGGGGATCAAGGGATCAAGAGCAGCCCTGCCAAGAAGGACTTAGGGGTACTGGTTGATGAAAAGCTGGATATGAGCCAGTAATGTGCGCTTGCAGCCCAGAACGCCAACTGTATCCTGGGCTGCATCAAAAGAAGCGTAGCCAGTAGGTCAAGGGAGGTGATTCTGCCCCTCTACTCTGCTCTGGTGAGACCCCACCTGGAGTACTGCATTCAGCTCTGGAACCCTCACCACAGGAAAGACATGGACCTGTTGGAGAGGGTCCGGAGGAGGGCCACAAAAATGATCTGAGGGATGGAACAGCTCTCCCATGAGGACAGGCTGAGAGGTGTTGTTCAGCCTTTCCTGAAGAGAAAGGCTGAGAGGAAAGGTTGTTCAGCCTAGACAAGAGAAGGCTCCAGGAAGACCTTATTGCGACAGAACAAGGGGTAATGGTTTTAAACTAAAAGAGGGCAGATTTAGACTAGATAGAAGGAAGAAATTTTTCACAGTGAGGGTGGTGAAATGCTGACACAGGTTGCCCAGAGAGGTGGTAGATGCCCCATCCCTGGAACCATTCCAGGTCAGGTTGGACGCGGCTCTGAGCAACCTGATTGAGTTGAAGATGTCCCTGCTCACTGATGACCTTAATAGGTCCCTTCCAACCCAAACTATTCTATGATTCTATGAAACAGGTTACTTACAAAACCACATTGTTCTCCCCAGTGACCAGCCACCACTAAAGTATCTCTGCTATGGATTATCTACCCTAAAAAAAAAGCAGACACACATCTTAACTAAAGTATGAAAAAAACATAAAAAATTGCCAGCGTAAGAGGTGATGATATAGTACAGAGCAGATAACTAAGACCTTAATAATGAAGGCATAGTTTGATCCAGTCATAGTTTCACATAACTTATAACAATGTTACTTCTACTTTATTATTACTTATTATTAATGTATAATGATATTACTTCTACTTTTGGAAGATACCACTAACGTCTTTCTCCTTTCAAACAGGTACTAACAACTAACATACTAACTTTTATTACTTTTTTGTATACACGCAGACACAAACACTCATCCATTCTAATTTGAAATGCCTAAAGAAGCAGAAAGTGGTAGAACAGATAAATTACACCAGTTTAATATTGTCCAGCCTCACCTAGCAGGCAATGGCACATAAGGAACAGAATAGAGTTCTGGAGGGGAAAAAAAGCTATTTCCCTGTGCAAATTACAAAGCTGCAAGAATGCTGGCTATCAGTTTTGCGACATGAATGATGCTCCAAATGGGTCACAAAGAAACTGTCAAACCCATGATAAAAAAATAATACTCTGCATATGACCTAGGATTTAAATGCATATCCTGTTGTTTCAATAAAGAAAGCAAAACGAGAAATGGTATGAGTGCCATCATAGAACTAATCTATTTACACATTATGAAAATCATAGAAAAGTTTGGGTTGGAAGGGACCCAAAGGCCATCTAGTCCAATCCCCTGCAATCACCGGGGACATTTTCAACTACATCAGGTTAAAAAGTCATAAACCTATCCCAGGAACACATGCAGATACAAGAGTCACACCAAAATGCATAACCATAAAGTAAGAAGGTTTCACATCTTGTGATCTACTTCTATGAAGACTGATAAATCTTTACATTATTTCACAGAAGTTCTGCCTTTCTCAGCTTGGCCAGATCACCTAATTCTCCTTTATATTACTCTTACCAGCATTGGTTTTTATCCACATTCCCTCACTTTGTTATAAAGAAATCATATGGAAAGACTACTGGAAATTCAACAGCTCTACATTTGGGTTTGGAAGTGTCAGTAAAAACCAGAGAAGGTGCAGAGACAGCAGATGAAAAGATGAGCACAAACAAGAACTATGAGTAAGGCCATTCCTTCTGAGAGCACTGTTCACTGCATGAGGCAGGGGTTCTACAGAAAAAGATGGTGCTAGATCATATAATTCTGTTTCAATTTTGCATAAGCACAAGAGTAAATTAATGTTGCACAAGCAACTGCACTGATCCTTTAATTGGTAGCTTTTTGGATATACTCTCCAACAATACCATCAAAGGAAAGATGTCATGTATTCTGAAGGTCACCTGTGACTGCTTTAGAATTTGTGGAGATGCCAGCTGGGGGCAGAAGTAACAAACACCCTCTCACAGGAAACCATTGAGCTTCATGGTTAGGAGAGCTTAAGAAGAGCCACCAAACAACAGAAAACAGAAACATTAATTGGGGAACAATAAGGGGCAGAGGTTGAAGAGAAGGTAGTATATTTACTTTCGTAACATCCTTTAACAGTAACTTGCTGATTCAGCCAAAAGAGGAACTCTCCTGTATTCAGGACAGAATACAACGGTGCAGATTAGCAATTATCACGCATTAGCAAGTATCACACTGCAATGTAACACCTTAGTTTCTCTCTGCTAACTCATTTGTGAATCTATGCCCCAGGTAACACACAGTTAGTAGCAAGACTGGACTGTGCTCATGGAACTATGATTTAATCATGAAAACCTGTATCTAGCCCTACAGCACAGATGAAGAGAGAACTGAAGAATCGAGCAGGCAGGACACGAGAGAGATGGAATTTGCACAGCTCTTTTTTCCTTTTATTCTGACAGTGGTTGGCAAGGTCAATGCCTTCTGAGATATGCTCATTTGTCTCTGACTCACTGAAGCCCTGGATACTTTTCTCAGATGAAGATCCGTAACTGGAATTAGATGCCAGTGGTAATGGGAAGTGCCTGGGCATTACATTGGAAGCCAAAGCTTACTGAAGTCAACCAGAAAATAACAAAGTTTCTTCTTTATTAAGGGAAGTCAGGCCATTTGTTTCAATTCTTAACTTTTCCCACCTGTCTTTTCTGGGGACAATGATCACTAACTTTTTCTGAGAAT